ACACACACACACACACACACACACACACTATAAAGTAATTGTTTAAAAAATTTATAGAAAAAGTTTATATTGAAGTTAAGAAATTTTTGAAATGATATTCTCAATCTCAGATCATGTGCTGAAAGCTTTAATTTTGATTCATTCTTTAGACAATATTTCTACGGAATCTTTTGGAGAGTATTGGGTCACATTTCTATGAAGAAAAGATTAAATGGGTGGTCGGGCTGTTCCTAACAGAGTTCTTCAGAATCTATTTTCTAACATTGTTGTGGGCTATCAATACTCGGACTGCACTTCGTGCCTCTGCTGGAGTCATGACTCTGCTGTATCGTAAAGTAATGAGATTAAGAGTTGTAGCATGCAAGTCAGCTGGAGAGGTAAGGAATTTTTAAACAGTGACATTCCTATCACAAACTTAAAAGTTTATTGTTAGCAAGCTTTGCTTATTCATCAACTTGAGATTGGTAGTTAGCAAGGTTGTGAAAGATGTGCAAAAACTAGACATTGATGTCACACTATTTTAAAAGAGAAAATAAAATATTTATATATTTAATCTTTTTGGTGTAAAAGTTAATTGGAAAATTAAGGTTTGTTTTTCTAAAGACAGAAATTGATACATAAAAACATGTTTGTAAAAAATGTGTACTCATTATTTTGTTTGTTTCAAAACTCTCCAATTATTCACTTGATTTTAAGGTCTAAATAAGTTTTTTTAAAGTGCACACAAAAATTTGATATTCCAGCTTTATAAGTATAATGTGACAATAGTTCAGAAACATATGACCATGATTTTTCAAAATACATTAAATATGTAGCACAATTTGAAATCATGATTTGTAATGTTTAAAGTTAATACTTTGCATACAGAAAAATCATTCTGGGATTTTTTTTAATAAAGCTTGAGTGATCTAGGTGTAAAATTTATAATGATCTTACTCTAAGGTAAATAACTTTAACATAAAGATTTTTTTAAAAATTCATTCCTGTATATTTTGAGTGTGAGCTGTTCATACACACAGAACAAAGAATATATTTACAGTTTTTGGAGTCTGTAATATACATAGTGTACATAAATGTACATATATATGTATATATATGGGAAAGAAGGTTGTCTAATGCATTATGCAACCATTTCTTGTCTAAAATAGTTTGTTAGTTTTAAAAGAACTATTTTTAATATGTATTACTTGAAGCATCTAGAATGTACTTTTTTTCAGATGAATATATCTATTTTTCCATTAATATCAAAATGTTAAGATTTAGGTGAAGGTTGTAAACAACAAACCACTTTTGATATTTTTATTTATTTCATGCTTAATACTAGATTGAAGTTAAGAATTGGTGAGTATCACATATCTTCTGTGCATAGAGATTTTATTTCATAAAAAAAATGTATGAAATTGAGGTAATTGTAATTAAAAAATGTTGAGTGACTTGTTCATTTGTTAAAACAATAATCATTTGTTCTGAAAGATTGGCTTATGAGTATCAAAATACACTCACTAGTTTCTAGAATTAAATAATTTTTTAGATTGTGTTCAAGATCAAGTTTTTATTTTAAGTTCTATTTCTTAAAAGCATTTACGGTTATCAAGTTTCCATGAAATAAGTGTGATATAGAATTTATGTAAGGGAAAGATTGTCTGAACTTAGCCATTATTTCAAGATTTGATTTCAGCATGCTGTACCTACTTACCACAATTTCAAGATCTTTTGAGAATGTACTGAAACTTCTGAAAATTATATTTAAAGGCCTGTATTGCCCACTTGTAAACTATTTGGGGTTTTGATGGAAACACTTTGACTTTTCTCCTTTCTTTCTGAATCCTAATTATTAAATGAAGTTTAAAATTTGATTATTCAATTTCCATATTTTTTTCCAACATTATTTTTTAAAAGAGTTATTATGTTTGCAAAAACCAAAAGCTCTGTGTTTCTGTTTAAGTTGTAAACTGGAACTACAAAATGCAACAAGTTAAGGTTAACAAAGGGTTCAGGCATTTCCTTAGTTATCACAGATCTATAATTAAACATAAACCTCTGTTATATGAGGAGATGTTCTGAAGATTTGACACTATTGATTATGGAAAAGCATGATTTGGTAATATCTATTGTTTGCTAACTGAAATGCACCAGAATGTACTGACTGCACTATATTAAATTAAAAAAATAAAAATTCAGAGCTTATGACTTTGCCACTCAATGAAACACCATTCAAATTTGGAAGGTTAGTAGGTATGGTGCTGTTACATGGCAAGAGGATTCACATAAAAATGCTAGGCCTGCCTGAATGTTGTGAATATTTTCTCTTTGAGCACTGACTTTTGTTCCCACAGGATAAATGATTATTTTATGAAGTAATTATTCCTTACTGTTTTAGTACATATGTGGTTATATGTTGAATATCATTACATCTCCTATTGGATTTGGGTGTCAGCACAGTCTTTGTACCCATTCCAGCATCCTGTATTTTGTTTAAATTTGTTCTGCTTGCTATTGGCCACGTCTATGAGAATTGGGAATCACTTTCTGAAATGATTAGCCGTAGCCATGCTGAAGCAGAAAGGATAAATCAGATACTGTGATATCCATTGTCTCTCAGATTTTGATATATATTTTTTTCCTATATATATATTTACTGACAACTGACTATTCAGAATAATAGCTGAGATTCAACATTCTTCACCCTATAATATCTCTTCTTCTGCCTCTTATTTTACAGAAGCTCTTATTATAATGTTGATTTTAGTAATTTTCTTGTATTTTTTATTGAAATTTCCCAACATTAAGATTCAAACTTTATGAATAGGTAACAATTAAGGCTGTCTAAATAAAGACAGCGGAGGGCATTAAGGGTGAAGAATTGTTTTTATAATAATCTAATCTTCAGTTTTCTACATTCTACCACTTCTAAAGTACTGTTGTAAATTAGTAAAGTAGAAGTAGTTTCATGCTTCATCTCATATCAGTGAATTTTTATCTTGGCCAAGCTGTTTAATGATGTACTTCAATTGAATTTGAAGTTTATACTCATATTTGCTAATTTTGTAATTGTGCACCATCCATTTCTTGCAGTTAATAAACTACTTTGCAAATGACACCCAGAAAGTCTTTTCAATGGTCAACCAAGTTCCACTAGTCATTGGAGGCCCTCTTGTAGTTATAGGATCTGTTATCTACATATGGTGTCTGATAGGACCATATGCTCTTATTAGTGTGGCAGTCTTTATATTTACGTATAGTCTTCAGGTAAGCTTCATAACATTTAATGTTGTTAGGAGGATATTTTTAACTATGATTTGTAGGAGATATCACTACTGCATATTGACTTCCTTATTATAGTTGGTGTAATACTTACTTAACTTCTGAAAGGATAATATTCTAGAGATTGACATGATCTTAAGTGTGAGTAACACTGTTATATTTGGTAAGTACTTAAGTATGAATATTGTTCGTTATCATTAATTCCTGTCTAAGTAATATTTGTTCTCCTGTAGTTTTTTCTAATTGTATTTGCTGTCAGATACCTCTTTATGATTAACCCATTCACTATGTCTGGTACGTATATGGCCTCTAAATATTTATTGTGTTCACAGCATCAACTCATCAGAATCAATACTACCTAGTAAATCCATAAAATAATCTGGATTTTCCCCAACTTCGACAGTACTTGCTGCCGTGACAGTGAGATGTTGTACAGGCCTCTCTGACATCTTGAGGGAACTGATGCACAGAAGGTGGAAATAATTAACTTACTATATAGCAGCATATAGCAGAATGTTGATGGATGCAACACATCATGTAGAATTTTAAAAGCAAAAATCCATATGTGTACCAGCTGCAATGAACAGAAAAAAATTTGGATGCCATATATGTACCAGCCACAGTGAATGGATTAATACCATATTTGTCACCAAGTATGAGTAATACTTGTTACCAAGTACATCTGTCCGTGTATCGTATTTTTTTATCTTGTATGCTTAAACGTGTGGATCAAGGCCACATTTTGTGAAGTGCTGTGTTCATATTTATACACAGATGTCTATATAGAGCTTCGAACTGGATCAGTGTGAGGTGTAAGCATTGACTAAATTAATTTTTTATTCTTCAGGAGCACATATAAACAAACGTTTACATTACCTCTGTTGTATAACAGTGCTGCAGTAAACGTTTAAGGAATAGCTAATGTACTGAAATAATTTTGTTCTTACATGTATGAAACAATTCTTTTCAAATTGATTTCTTAACATTAACAAGTACAGTATGAAAATGTTGATACAATTTTAATTAACAATTATAGGTACTTGTTAATCTTTCTTTTTTATGACTGAATATTATTTAAAGAGTCTTTAAGCAATCATCTTTTTTTGCTGGCAAGTTTTTATATAATAAATATAATAAAGTCTTTATATGCCTTTCCTGTATTTTCCATTGCTCTTATTTAGCTATGTATTATTTAAATTTTGGCTTCCATTTTGTTTTCTATACACTTTTCAACAAGCAGCACAGCCCTTTTGGTACTTATGTAGTGCCTGTTACAAATGTGGACTTGCATCTCTTCAGGTGGCTATAGTATTGCCTCAACAAATAAAATGTCACTAATCTTGCTTTATAAATTTGTTAATAGTGTAATAATACTATGCCAAAAAGAAGACATATTGTATGCATTCATAATAATAGTATATTAGTTACAAGCTTAACATATTTTGCCAAAAAGAAGACATATTGTATGCATTCATAATAATAGTATATTAGTTACAAGCTTAACATATTTTGCTGTTTTGCACCCATCTAACTGATCTGCTATGCCTAATCACTATCATGATTGTGATGTACTAACAGAATTTCATGGCACTTCCATGATTTTTTTTTATACAAATACTAACAGATGACTATTGAAACATTCAATGGTTAGTTTCCTAACAGTAGTGATAAATAAATAAAAATGTGCAGTCAACTCAATGCTTTGGGTTATAGTGTATACACAATATGATTGTCTAGTGGGCCATTTACAACTGTCTTTTGTCATTCCATGTGTTATTTCAATAAGGAAAATTGCATTGCATTTGTTTTTAAGCAAAGAAGTCTGATTGCAAGGTATTGTTGGCAAAATTGTTTGGGTTTATGCAATGTGTGCATCTACCACAAAAGAGCACTCAAGCTCACTATGTAGCTATGGGGATATTTTCTGCTGGATGACACCGTACCTTGTCATTTTACTGAGCACAAGAAAAGACTGCTACTGACGTGAGTGCTTTTTTGACAGTTATCATTTCTATAAGAAGTGTTAAAAGCAAGATATTCATTTCAAATTAATTTATTTCACATGGTACAATAAAATCGTGGATGTGTATATATATAATACTACCATGAAACAACCAAGTATATCTATTGTATGTGTGTGTGTATAAATGTATATATATAAATAAAAACACAACAAAAAGTATACTCAAACACATTCCTCTCTTTGTGCATTTTTTCTGTTCTTGCTATTACCTTCAATTTTTTCTGAAATTCTCACAAAAGGAAATCTTTTTGCTGTTAACAAGTTTTTTTCTCAGATTGACTGTTTAACACATACAAAGACTGACAGTTTGATGTTAATATCAATAGGAAATTTTAGGAATTGTAAAACATGAATAATTTTCCTGCACTTTCATATGTAAATGTTTTTTTTTTCTATAATTAACCACTCAGGAGATCCAGAGCGAGATCTGGCTATTATATGTATAGATGCTTATTTTTATTGAAAATAGCATAAATATTGCTGTCACATTAAAGCTAACCGAGAGAGTAATTCATACATTGAATGAAATTTAAGGGTTAATGTTATTGAAACATCTTTATTTCTCATTTTCTTTATTGGCAGATGAAACTGCAAACTATTAAAAAGAAGTTGCAGCATCATTAGACATTTAAACTGTAGAAAAAATTAACTGTTATTTGTGTAGTTTAAGACAATGCAATAAAAAACTTCCAATTTAAGAGCCCTGGGAAATCTTTTTGAAGGTTTTACCATGAATGATAAAGAGCTTGTACAATAATTAATGTTTATGATAAATATTTTTGTTACTGAAAATACTTAAAGTTATATTCAGACCTGTAACAGAAACTTAATCTTGTAGATCAACAAAATTTTATTGTCAGACAGTTTTTTGTTAATATATTCTCAACTTTTTTTTTATTTTACTTTATATTTAATATTGTACTTGTTAGTATTTGTTTTTATTGTGAATTATTAATAATACACCATGATATTTGTGTATGATAGGATCCTTTTTTTCCAAATTGAATAGTTTTAATGTTGTTTTGGTAAGCATATTTATGAAAGTGCATTGTTTTTCTGATTTAGGTTGGAGTTTCACGCTTGTCATTGGCTTTCAGAAAAAAAGCCATTAAAGCCACTGATGAAAGAGTAGGTTCAACTTATTTCTGAAGTATAATAAAAATGAAAATCTCCATACATGTATTTACTGGTTATGGAATCAGTTTTTCTTTTTTAATAAACTTTATATAAAATACACATACAGTGTTTAAATATTATTTTACTTTAAAGGTAATTTACAAGATTTTCAAGGAAAATTACACTAGGCAAACTGATTTAAAAATTTTTTCCAAGATTAATTCTTTGCATTTGTTTTTTTATCTTTTGTGAATTTTTTTTAGAAAAGAAGTACTAACAATTTTATGAAAGTTCTCGTACCTTACGAAATATTTTCTGATCGTGGCATAAGTTTTTTTTATGAATGATTTGAATGCTTTGAAATATTTTCATGTAATATTTAGACAGTGATTCTGCATATATAGGTATCTTTGGTTGCTGATCTTTTGACATACGTGAAACTTATAAAACTGTATGCTTGGGAGCACCCATTTTCAGAGTCTGTTTCAGGCAAGTTTAAATTATTTGATAAATGTTGCCGATGAGTGATTTGTCTGTTTATGTTTAATGATTACTAAGTTAAAGAATTTTATTGCAAAAAGAAAGTTACTTTTCACTGTACATATTTTAATGATTTTCTTTTAGATTTTTGTTGAGAACTCTAAGTGGAATTTTTTTACATTCAGATTTGCGAGATCAAGAGCGAAATTTGTTGGAAAAAGGCCATTATTTACAAGTCTTCAGCACATCAGTATCTGTTTTAACACCAGTTTTAGCAAATATATTTACAATATTAGCATACACTATGACAGCACATAGTCTTTCTGCAGCTGAGGTGGGTAGTTTGTATCATATTAGTTGGATTACAGCTTCTGTTAAGTTGATTATATAATCTTGTTATTTTCATTTTATTGTTTAATTCTATTTCTATTGGTTTTCATTAATTTAACAAGTATTTCCAGTTTTTCTAATTCTTTAAAGAATTCATTTTTTGCAATTTTCATCAAGAAAATTAATAACTAAAGTTGTCAGATCTTTGTCAAAAATACTTGGAAATTTCTTGAATTTTAATCAATTTTGTGAAATTGTGACAGGCAGTTTATAGTATAATAGATAGAATTTTGTTTTACACTTATCTGAATATTGTAATTGGTTTTAGTTTTTTTCTGTCTTAATAAATAATTAAAGCTAACTATTTTAGTTGAAACATTGTTTGAATAAGAGCTTATTGTTTGGCAGATGTTTGCATTAAGTATAAACAATTTTTTACAGAAAAATTACTATATTTTATTCATAATGGTGCACTTAGATGACATTACTCCATTAGTAATAAGCTTCCTGGTTATTACATAATGTTTATTTCAATCATATTTTTGTTTATGATTAAAAATTATCATTTATCTAGTGCAAAAACAAATCATAAATCAGCACAGAAAAAAGGCTTGATTTTGTACATTTCAGTCGTGATTAAAAAGTAAGAAGGCCTAATTTCTGTAGTTTCACAAGATTCTTCAGAATTTGGAATATATAGATATTTATTTTAAGTGACTTGGTTTAGGGAAGAAAAATTCTATTGATTACAAAATCAAAAAATTATGAAATTGAAACAGTTTGTTTTTCAGTCAGTGTCCCAGTCTATTAAACAGAAAAAAGCTGTATTTTAAGCATTATTCTGTTTTTAGTGAAAATTGGCTTGTAGAAATGCTGTTGTACAAGTTGTCATTGGTTTAATCAAATTTTGAGGTAATTTTTTAAAATTTTAATGAAAAAATTTTCTGTATTTTTACAGTTATTTAAGGATAAAAACTCTTAATATTTTTCAGGCTTTCACCATTGTCATGGCAAATTATATTGCCAGTCATGGAATAAAAACACTACCTATGTGTATCAAAGATATTGTCAATGGTAAAGTTGCAATAAAAAGACTACAGGTGAGGTTCATCCTTTTTATCATAATTTTTCTATGTAGTGAATGTACCAACACTTTTCATGGAAGTAATTGTACACTTGTGAGAAAGTTATTATTCCTTCTCAGTTCTTTCTTGCTTTATTATGGCTTCATGTTCATACATTAATTTCAGATTTAAAAACTCAGACTGTAATTGTAAATCTTTGTATGCTGCTAAATAGTTTTGAACAAAAATTGCTATAGCCTGAGAATAACTGTAAGCTTCTTAACTTATCAGTTTTGTGGGGAATTTAGTGAAGCATACATTTCTATAGATTGTATCCTAATGACTCTCTTCTGTTGCTAACTCCAGAATTTTAATTATCAAAAATCTTTGATGTAGGTTTGTTATTTAGTTTGTGGTGAGTGGCAATGAGCAATACAAGAATGAGAAGCTAGCTATGTACACATCATATTTGTTATATTTACTTTTTGAGTAAACATCATATAGAATAAGATATTTCAGGTTTTTGTACTTGCAATAATGAGAGAGCTTATTGTTTTGTATCTGCACTTTTTGATGTGTGTGTGTGTGTGTGTGTGTGTGTGTATATATATATATATATATATATATATATATATGTATGTATAGTATAGTACTACGTATACTACTACTAACTTTAATTTTTTAATTTATTTTAAGT